CAGTATGCTACGTCAAACAAGGAATCATAGGAAAGTATTGGAGCTATGTACTGTAAATGAAAAACATCCTGCCCAGTGATCTAGCAGCTGCCTTGCTGCTTAGCTAGGATAGAGGGCATTGGTCCGTTATTCATGTTGCTCTCCCAGGCAGGTCAGTTATTGTACAGGACATTGTGGCATTCTCTTTCTTTGGATCTTACGCAACACAGTATGTTGGACTGCCCATGAGATCTTTCAAAGGAAGAAAGCCAGCCATTCTTTTGGACCAACCTAGTCCTCAAGAAGGTCTTTAGACAGTCATCAGAAGTGGAACCTATCTTCTGGTGAACAGGTATTATAACAAGCTATATCTATTCACTTTTCATTTCAGCTTGAAAGAAATGTTCCAGTGTGGCAAAGAAAAGACATCTAGAGAACAAGCTTCAGCACAAGTAATCAAAGAAGAATACAAGAAACTTGGCCCAATAAGGTAATGCATTTGGCTAATCCACAGAAGAAATATTACAAATGCTATCAAAGAAATATTACAATACTATCAAAGCAAATCAGTTCAAAGGGTGATGGTCAATACATGATGTTTTTGTTTCAGCTACCCTGAAGTTGTCACCTTTGTCCTGTTCCTTCTGATGGCCCTGTTATGGTTTACTAGAGATCCAGGATTCATCCCTGGCTGGTCTGCTTTATTTCCAGAGTAAGTCAATAAGCCATGCTGCACAATTTTTAGGAGGTTCTATAATTTATTATATGGAAAAATCCAGATAGTAGTACCAAATATTTCTTTAAACATCTATTAGAATGTGTAGAGGAAGAGACAATGCCTTTTTTAAAAAACATGTCTCCCTGGTATTCAGAAAGCCATAAGCATGTGATTGTTATTGACTAGGAACAGAGGAAGTGAAATTCTAACTTTCTATTCCACTACCAAAAATGATTGAATGAATCAAGTTATATATATGCTAAAATATTGTACTGTAGGTATCTGGATAGCTGACACTTTGGGGATCTGTCTCTATTTAGTCCATTTTCATCCATTTAGCCTTGCATCTAGAGTAGGATATCTAATTTGTTTAGATCTAAAGGTAGATCTAAAGGTAGATCTAATTTGTTTAGATCTAAAGGTAGATCTAAAGGTAGATCTAAAGGTAGATCTAATATCTAATTTGTTTAGATCTAAAGTTTTAGATCAATATTTTGGGTTTTTTTAAGCTGAAGGTATTAAATAAACATTATGTAAGAGTCATTTCTTTACCTGGAATATAATAATACCTTCTTATGGTTTTATTTTTCTCTGTTAGATTTTCACCACAATTATGATTTCTTATTAGCTGTTTTAAATATCCATTATATTCTGCTTCTGGCATGAAATTTCATGTGAATACTCAAGAGTTCATTTGGCTGATTTACATATGCTATTAAATATGAAGTTTTGTATGTGTGTGCATATATAAAATCTTCTTTCCAGATTTTATTTTCAAATATTATTTACATTTAGTTCCAGGAAATTTCCATGGCAACACATACAACTATAAGAACACCATACAGAATGGTTCATGTGAGGTTTACCATTAGTTTTTCTTTATAGACACTGCAGAATACCTTATTATCTATGAATATGTTTTACATATTTTATGCCATGATACCTAAAGGAAAGCCGGGCAGTTTTTAGTTCTAAAGAGCTCTCGTGATGCTAAAATAGCGCTACTAAGAGACTTGTCAAGGCCTTGAGAATGTTACAGCTATCATTTTAAAAGCTTCTGCATGTTCCCTGAAATTTTTTATCTCTGTCTGATATGACAGAAAATTCAGAATTCTTGGCAAAACAACAACAACAACCAACCAACCAGCCAAACAAACAAACAAATTAAAATGGGGAGCTTTTCAATCCAGAGGATGCTCTCAGAGTCAGTTCAAACTAGGCCCATATAATCCTACAGATTTTATTTTGCCAGGAATGATTTTTCTGGGATGCTTGCCAGATGCTATCAAGCCTTTTTATAGTTACTGACAATACCTTTTTACAATACCTTTTAAAAAAATGCTTCTTTTATATTCTTTTTTAGGCTACTGTGGTGTTTCTTCAGAGATAAAGTAAATTTGATTACTAACCCAATAGAGTTCCCAATACCTTCAATTAAATACTTCTGAAATATACTGAAGTATAAATAAGTCTAATTGGGTTGATGAATACTTTTGCTGAAAGATAATCACAACATTCTTTTCCTAGACTTGTAATATTTATTTTCTAAGTAAATATCTCTTTCCTTAGATATCCAGGCTATGCTACTGATTCAACAGTGGCTTTACTAATTGGGCTCCTCTTCTTCATTATTCCTGCAAAAAGATTGTCTAGAACTTCAAATGGAGAAAACAGTTGAGTATATTTCTTTGCCCATTTTTGCTGCAATTGCTTAATTTAAAAAATTATGCAACCATATGCATGCATACATACACACATAAATACATACATATTGGATTCTTCTGAAATTCATCTGGCCTACAATGTTTACATACAGCCATTTGAATATGCATACTGCAAATCAATTGTGAGATTTATTTCTAATAAGACCTCCCTTTCCAAGACAGTGGAAGTTAAGTGGATCAGAAAAAAACACATTTCTGAAGTAAAGAAACTTACTACCCAAGTTTCTATGACATAGATCCTTGTGTGTCATTTATACATTAACCTCTGCCCTAATGTAACTTTTTAAATTTATACTTAGTAAAATGTATGTACCCAGTCATTGGGCTTTATAGACAATTATATAACATTTTGTGGTGCAAGTACAGGATTTGAAGTTTACTCAACAGATTTTCTTGTTCTTGTTGAGCCAA